TTTTGGGGCCCAGCCTACCAAAACAAAAAGGCTGGCGGTGGCAGTCAAAACAAATCCAATTTGGCGACCGCTGTCAGAGGGCCTGTTGCTGCTTTCCAGCAGATGGATTTCATCTAAGTTGCCTGGGTTGGAATTCGGAAAAAAACAACAACACAAAAGCGAGGAAGCTCTCAATTGATGGCACGAGTCTATGCATGGTCGCAGTGTCTTCACGACTCTTCAGCCCCCTCGTGTCTAGGTGCGGCCCCTCGAGGTGTTAGTCCGACAGCTTACCGATGGCCCCGTTCTGGGGGTACACCGCTATGCTCAGTGGTGGCGACTTATTTCTGGGACCGCCGGTCTAATTACAGGAGTGGAACTTCTATTCCCTTACCCCGAGGCGTTGCACCACCAAAACAGGTGCTCCTGGGCCAGGCTGAGACCCAGAGGGCCCATCGCCCCTGACCACTTGGGTAATGGACCATATGATGACTTCCACTGTGACCCAAGAGCTGACATGTTAGGACAGGGTTAGGCATTTTCTGCAGTGAGCATCCATCTAGGTTATGGAATTCAATAGAGGTGATATTCAGGTGTGCCGCCAATGCCAGACCACTTGTTTTTGTTTAGGTGTATAACTGTTGAGTTTTTACTTTTCCTTTCCTCTTTTCCTCGCCGATTCCTAATTCACAACAGAAAAAGGTTGCACTAACACGGCGGTAGCAGCCCCATCCATGTTCACAAGAGAACATGTGGATGCTGCATTCGACCTGCAGGTGGGCGATACAGACCAGGGGTCAGCCGGGAGCATCAGGGACCATGTATTGACTGACCAGTCTCTGCGCCTCCCCCTACGAACATCAGCAACATCTGCTTAATGCTGATCGGGGGGACCAAAGGGCTACCTCTAGATGGCGGACACCATGTACGCCCAGTTAGGTACATGTCATGGTAACCAGCCAGACATCCATACCCGGATCCAGACGGACCACCCCCCAAATGAAATTTGATAATATAGAAGGGTGTGCGGCCCGGGTGCCTAGGACTTTTTCCGGGTCCTAGGCACCTTCCAAAGGACAGTACTGCAATTTTTCGGCCAAACAGACTACACCAGACCCTGGAAACAGTTAGCGGAGCGAATCGGGTTAGCACCTACTATAGGCCGCCATTGCCAGCACTGTTGTTCCTGCCTGTGTCGTTGTTGCCCCCCTCAGAGTAGCTGCCGCCCTGCACGTCCGTGGCCTTCGTAGTGATACATGGCGAGGAATAGGAGGGACGAGTGTGGTCATGGCGGTGAGAGGAGAGCAAGGGGTGCGGAGGATGGTGGAGTACAGCCATAGCGGTAAAGGAGGACAAGGGGTGCAGAGGAGGGAGGAGTGTGTCCATAGCGGTGAGAGGAGCATGAGGGCTGCAGGGAAGGAAGAGGAGGGTGGGGACCGCTAGAAGGGACATTCATAGTTAGGAGGAGGAGGGATGAGCTTGATTGTTTTTTTTCGTGCTTTGTCTTGTTTCTAGTGTATTTTACTATTTTCAACTTTTTAGTCTTTTTTGTACGTCTTTTGTTTCTCCCCAATCCTGATGTTTCAGGGGTCCCTGGAACCCATCTGGACGGTCCAGGTCCGATATAAGTGACTGGTGCCTGTCTGGTTTTCCGGACGTCTGGATCCATCCAGATGCATGTCTGGTTTTTGGTCTGGATCGGTCTGCTATCCCGGTCTGCGGTTACTATGGTACATGTTACATTAGGCCAATGGGAACTGAACCCACGACCTCCTGAATGCCAAGTAACTGAGCTAAGCCGATTGACTTCCTCCTTTGGCTAACCCCCCCCTCCTCTCCTTCTGTTTAGCTGTTTTGATCAGAGGGAACAGGAACTCAAGTGTCGAGTCGCAGCTTCAGTACTCCTTGCACAAAGGGGGTGCATGCAGTCCCCCATCCCCCTTCAGATAGGAGGCTCGTCACGCAGGTTACAGAGTCTTGGGTCCCCTTCATCCGAGAGGCCTGGGGGCCAGAGAAGAAGAGTCCTGACTTGCCTTTGGCAATGAGGGAGTGGAAGCGTCAGGAGGTTATGGGTCAAGGTGGCGGTCAGGGTCACAAGTGTCTGTTGTTATCAGGCAGTCCCCTGACGTGTGATCCTTGTTTCTGTGTGCACCATTGACGGGGTTCAAAGCCTGCGGGTCGAAAAGACTACTTTCCAGGGTTTCGACTTCGCTCTCAAATAGTGGCCCAATGGGAGACTTTTCGTTGTATCCCGACTGAAGAATCCCCTCTTTATTTTCAACAAGTGGATGTCGTTGCCCCGGCACACACCTGCCGCTGCTCCTCCTCCCCCCATTCCTCCACCTCGTCCTACTCCTCCCCGTTCTCTGCCAGCTCCTCTCCACCATGCTCCCGCATCGTCCTCAGATATCTCCTTCTGTGCTGCGTTCTCCTCCTGCTCCTCCTCCGCCACATCCTTCTCCTAACCCCGCTCCTCTTACTCCTCCCCGTTCTCTGCCAGCACCTCTCCACCATGCTCCCGCATCCCACCTCAGATATCTCCTTCTCTGCTGTGTTCTCCTCCTGCTCCTCCTCCGCCACACATCCATCTCCTACCCCCACTCATGCCATGTCCTCCTCCTACACCCCCCCCTCCTCTGCCATTTATGTGGCCGAGCAAAAAAACAAGAAAACAGGTGAATGCGAAGTCCGCCTCCTGACCTCAGACAGTGGGCCTCTCTCTAGTCAGCATTCCACATGTACATGGACTACTGGCAAACTGTGGCATTCTCTGTTCCACACAGGACCTTCACAGGGCCCGGTCCATAGGCATAGGGGTTAGCGGGTTACATTAGGCATGGTTAGTACTAGGCCCTGGCGCGTCGGTTCATTAGCACCAGCCCCCCGGTTAGAGGCCCAGTTAGGCCAGCAGCAGGGGAACGGGCCCTAGGCGCCGTTTCAGGCCCTGGCGGCTGATTGTTGGTCCTTTTGAGAGGTCGGTTCTTGGTTCTGGTCTGCGCCATCTGGCATGCGACACCAAGCCACGGAAAAAAAAAAAAAAGGCCAAGGTTGGGCACAACTCAGCCCTTGGCACGGGCAAGCAGTACTATGTGGGTTGGGCAGTAGCATGTGGCGTGTGTGATACCATGTGGATGGGTTGGCACCATGCGAGGTCAATCACACTACGCGGACTGGATAGTGCTAACACAGCCACAAATATACACACACTAAGGCACAACTTCACCCTTGGCATGACTACGGTGCTGTTTGGCCTGAGCGGTATTATATAGCCTGCAAGATGCTACATGGGTTGGATAGTCTCACTGGACCAGGTGGCGCCATGTGGGGCAGGCCATACTACATGGACTGGATGGTACTAATGCACACACTCCCACAAAAAGAAAGAGGAACACAGACACAGCCACACGGCCAACATCAGGCAAAATGTGCATCTTGCCACGGCCAGGCCTTACTATGTGCGCTGGGCCGTATTATGTCGCCTAGGTGATGCTATGCAGGTTGAGTCATACCGCGTGGGGTGGGTCATACTGCGTAAACTGGGCGGTGTTGTACGGGATGTGGGCTGGGCTGTAATATGCTGGCCCAGGCATACTATGCGGACTGGGTAGTACTAAGAGGCCTGGTCGATACTACTTGGTTGGGTGGCACTATGTGGTGGGCCATACCACCTGGACTGGGTGGTACTATGTGGGCAGGGTGGTATTATATGGCCGAGGTGAGACTGTGTGGGTTGGGTCACAGTATGTGGACTGGATGACACTACGAGGGCTGGCTGGTACAGTGTGGGGTAGGTGGGTGATGCTACAGGGCTGGGTGGTACAAATGACCCAAAAAAAAAAGAATTACGAAAAACAAAAGGTCAAGCCCATGTGACTGAATCATGGTACCCGGCCGGACGTCCGGACCAGGATCCAGACGGTCCGGCTATCTGGGTCCGGGTGCAAGGTCCAGTCTGGTACGTCTGGATTGGCCCCCAAAAAGGAAATTCAAAAAAAAAAAAGGGGCACCTAGGACCTTTTTCGGGTGTCCTAGGCCGCCCACAAAAAAAGTAGACCCACTATTTTTCAACTGTTTCATGGCCTACAGGATGTCACCGAACCCCACCAATCCCACGAAGTGAAGTACAAAAAAAACTAATTGTTTGTCTTTTTTGTAAAACCAGCTGTGGCTTGCTAGGGGTGATAAGAGCACCCCATCTAGCAGGCATCCCTACTGATGGGGAGCCACACCTGCTGGGAACTGGGTACAGTGTCCCTCAGTGCCATACTCCCGGGGCCATTACCCGGTGTCAGCTCAGCCTTCTACGTGTGCTACCGCTCTACTTTCCCTAAGGGCAACGCCACAACTCCGCCCTCTGCTAAAACCCCAAGCGGAACCAGCAGCTTTCGGCTAACGCTTGGCTGCTATCCTTGTCAGGATGTTTTGCCATCTTGACCGTGTTTCAGTCCACTGAGTACTCTGCTTTCGACGAACTCAAAAGCTGCTTCACCGCTTGCTGGACCAGTTGCTGCCTCCCCTGCAGGACAGCAACGCATCTTGTTTTCCATGTAGTCCATAGGGCCAGCGGACGGTGGACGTGGTCACGCTCCGTTCTGCTCGTGACGCCCAAGAGGGTTTGGGCTACTACGGTTGGGAATGGGGTCGCGGTGAGGGCACTCCACAGAGGCGCTACCGTGTCCCAAATTTGTACAGCCTCGGGGCATCCCGACAGGCAGTGAACTATAACCTCGACCTGGCCCTTCTCACACAGGAGGCAGAGATCCGTCCGCGTTGCGCTGTTCTGTGTAACCCTGCGTTTGCAGAGCCACTTCCTGACCAGAAGGGCAATGTATGCAATCAGCCATTACATGCTTCTGATGCGTGTCTTGGATTGGGAGAACCAAGTTCCACAGGGTGGCGTGGCGAACGTCAAGGTCAATGCCCAGGGGTCTCACCCACCTTGCGGCAATAGTGCCACACAGGGGCAGCGAGCCGCTTCTCAGCCTGTAGCCAAGTTTGGTGGTGTATTGCAGCAAGTTGAAGTGCTGTGCTGGTCCAGTCTTTTGCCGGCGTAACTTCCAGGCCCATTCCCTGTTGTTGTTTTTTTCTAAAATCAGAGGCCCCTTCTATTCTGGGGGCATCAGTCCTGCTGCTCATCACCGGCAAGCAAAGAGTTCAAAGTCACAACCAACAAGGAGAGAGGACGAAGAGCCCAATACCCCCGTCCCCCGAGACACTACAGGGGGGGCCGGAGGGGCATCCGAATGGAGACCACCCGCTAACCCTCCACCGGCAGGCATATCGTGGCAAGAAAACGGAGCAACGTACCCAGGCGCCCATGATATGCGCCACGGACAGGACGGGGAAGGACTGGCCCCAGTGGGGGTCCCACCGGCCACTGGGCCTCGCCAGTAATGTTGGCATGAATCCTCCCGCTTATCTCTGCACAATTATTGCTTGGGAATGTTAGCCTAGCCATGTCCCTATTAGCATCATGCCGCCTATCGCCCAGCCTGCGGCTTCATTACCTAATTCGTTTACCTGTCTTCATTTATCACAAAGAGTATCCCATTGTTCCATCTGAGACTATACATGCATTAGCGGTACGTACTTGAGGCCCGACCTAATCGTCCCGTAGTCCTTCTACCCCCCCTACGTTTCTATGTGTACACCTCTTCCAAGCCTATTCTGCCGGATCGGTGTCGAGATCTTGTATCTCGACCACAGGGCCGTAGATAGTAAGCTCTGTGTCCTCCACAACCCTGACCTTGCACAGTCAATCCCACCTTACAGCCACCTGGGCAGAGCTGCTTTTGCTGAGCAGGCTGCTCGACGTCCCCGAGGTGCAAATACAGTCTATGTTGAACAAGCGCCACTGGTCGTCTGACGACGCCCGAGCAATGAAGGCCAGGGCTGTTGCTGGGGTGTCCTCTTCCAGCATCGTGGCCAACTCCCCGTGCTCCCATTTAGCCAGCTGTCTCAGCATGCCGGTCCAATCCTGTGGGATGGATAGCAGCATTTCCTATAGTTGTAGTGGAGGTTATGACATCCTGGGAGCATTTCTCAGAGTTCTCTGTCTGTCTTCCATCGCAGCCGTTGCTTGTGCCAGATGTGTTTTATCTCCCACACTCCTTTCTCCAGCTCCCCACCTCGCATCCGTCGCTGTGAGCATCCATGGTCTACCCCGTCTATCTGCATCCACTGGTTACAGAAGAGCAGCTGACAAAGCACCTCTTCTCTGCTTTGGGGCAATCTCACCTTCACGGGCATTATCTCTCCAGATACCAATGAAATGTGCCCAAAGCGCAGTGTCTTTGTGAGGTCCTCCCGTCGCTCAGGACTTTGCCATAATATAGAATTGGCCATTCATGTTGCAGGGCGTGGCATACCTGGGCAACTTCCTTATCTGCTAAATGGCGAGAGCATGCCACGAGAGGTGGGTTTGTGTTATGAGCTTGAGTATCCATTTCGTCTGCAGTGCCCTGACCGGACGCTCCGGGTATGATGCCCAGACCTCCCTCCTCCTTGGGAAGCACCACGTACTTACAGGCCACTCTGGGAATGATGCTCTGCCAAGACAGGTTGCCAGACCATAGATAAGCCACAGCTCTGTCCCTAAGAGGTCGCCCGAGCACAGCGTTCGGGCTCCACACTGTGCCTGCATACCAAAACATGGAGAAGATTGAGGCATTGAGGATGAGGGCCCTTCCAAATAGCAAGGTGTAGAGCCCAGACCATGTTTCCATGTTCTTCAGCATCCTGGTGAGGATCTTCCGTGCCTGCAAGTGTGCAGGACCTGCCTCTGTCATTTGTATGCCCAGGTGACCCAGCAGCTCTTTTCCTTTCTGCCACTGCAGCCCCTGCAGCGACGACACCAGGGTAGGGAGCTCGCCTTCTGTAAGCCACCAGCCCACGGTCTTGGTCCAGGTTGATATGCATTTCTGCAATTGGATGGAAATCCTGCATCACCATCACGAGTGCTTGGAAGGAAGAGTCCGACGCTCTGACCAGAACAGTCAAGTCATCCGCAAAGAGCATGGTGGTGGGAAGCCTAACTCCTCCCTGCTTGTCAATATGATCCTCAACAAGTCGGTCTATCGAGGGGTCTTTTCTGAGAAGGGAGGATATAGCTTCCATTCTAAAAAGAAAAGAGGGGTGCTGCCAGGGGTCCCCCTGGCGGACCGATCTGGACACCTTGTAGGCCTTGACGTGCACCTTGCCGTCCACATCATTATACAGTGCCCTCACCCAGCAGCAGAAGTTGGGGCCCACTCCCATTTTCGCCATGCACTGCTGCTGAAAATTCCAGTTGACCTGGTCATAGGACTTCTCAGTGTCGAAAAACAGAATTTCTGCAGTCATTCTCTTGTCCTTCATTTGCCTCACTGATTCAGGACAGCGTCATGACGTTGTCCAGTATGAATCTCCCCGGAATGAACCCTGTCTGATCTATGTGGAAGTAGCAGTCAGTGACTTCCTTTAGTCTATTAGCGAGAAGCTTTGCCATCATGTTGAAGATGACCAGTAGAAGGGCAACAGGTCTATAATTCTTAATATCCATAGGGTCTCCTTTCTTATATATGAGTGTAACTACTCCGGTGCTAATATTTCCAATCGAATAAATCGGAAAAAAGTGCAGATGTGACATATACTCCTACCCAAACACAGGCCAAAAGGCTTGCCAATACTCCATGGATGACCCATCCCACCCTGGGGTTTTATTGGGTTTGAGTGACGCCAGTGCTGTTCTGACCTCGTCTCGCATTACAGGTCTATGCAGCAGCTGAGCTTGTTCCGGAGTCTAGGTTTTGTGCAGGTGAGGTACGAATTTCTGTCTTGCCCGTCTGACTACTTCCAGAGGGTGATATACATATCGAGTTGAAGAGCCCAGGGCGAGAAAAAACAAAAAAAAAGAACCAGACGAAGTACAGTTGTTTTGTTTTGTTTTTACTGTTTTGCTCATTGTGCGTCTCGAACGCCGGACCTGAGTTTGCCTAGCATCACGGTAGGACCTTTTCAGCTGCTACGTTTATTCTTGCCTTTTGGAGTCAGACACTGCAGGCCCACGCAAGCAGCAGCTCCTCAAAAGTGACGAGTTGGGCCAAAACCCTCGTTCTGAAATTATTGGTCATATTGTGCTGCCTGGCAAGACTAGCAAGTGCACTACTTTCAGCAGTGCTTGAGGGAGGGGGAGAGAGAGAGAGAGAGAGAGAGAGAGAGAGAGAGAGAGAGAGAGAGAGAGAGAGAGAGAGAGAGAGAGAGCTTGCTGTTCACTGGACAGTTTCTTGAGCCGATTGTTGCATCTTGCTGAGGGAGGCTGAGAGTGGTTGTTCAATTCCAATTTTCTGTGGATTTGCCATCACGCGTCCTCTCATCTAAATCAAGTGCATAACTGAGATGATGAATGGAAGTACTTGAGATTCTTGATATTTGTAACAGATATTGTGTATTGACCTTCACTGAGCAACCAGCGCACACCTTCCAGAGGGCTGGGGAAGGACAGTAGATCGGACTTGTGGATTTGATTGAGCATTTTACTGATTCAAACGGATTGGATTGGTTGGATTGTTAGACTCTTCGGCTTATTCGATTGACCGAACAATTGGGCAGTCGCCAGGGTGCACATGACATCAGATGCAAATTATCACAAACGGCTGGCAAAGCTTCTGACAAGCAAGGACAGACGAACCTGCATTTATTTCATTCATTGCCTTCCGCACCGTTTCGTCAGGCTCGACGTCGGTGATGAGAGTCTGGACAATGCAGTAGCCGTAATTGCCCATAACCTAGATAGCAAAGAGAGACAAATGCACGCAAACGACAACAGAACGAAAGAAAAAAGTAGCCAGCACATTTTGGCCTTTTTAGTATGATTTACTAATTAAGAACCCACAAAAAAAGGGAAGCAAACCCGGCAACTACATGCAGAAACAACTACCGTCTGATTTGTCAACAGATGGGTTATTTCATGGAAGTGATTTGCCCATCCGGATAGAAGAATGGCAACATAAAAGATCAGTCCTAAACCCTTTTATACTCAGAAAAGTAAGAGTGTTGGGATCATGGCCAATAACTATCTTCAGGATAGATATGGCGATTCAAGACTCGGAATTCGATCCAGCAGAGTGGGCTTGGACACCTGACAGAAGCAGAAGTCCCAAAACGAAGGTCCCCATCAAGGAATACACTGTCAATTCGGGATAAAACTTACTCCTCGAAACGAAGGACCCTGACCCAACGATTAAGAGCAGATGGCAGAAGTTCATAGGTCAGGACACTACTCAGATCCCACAGATACCATGGAAAAAAATAATGTCAATCCGACCGGTCAAAATCAGAAGCCGCCAATGGCTCATCTCATACGTGGCTCTACCGGTTAACCAGTGGCTGCATGTCAGAAGAAGTAAGAACGACCGTAAGAGTTCAGATTTATGCGCGATATGTTAAAAAATAGAACCAGAAGATACGCTACATTGTCTGATACGCTGTAGAGAGGCGACTGATTATTGGGCGAGGGCCTCGGATTTCTGAGATTCCCTCTTCTCAACTCCCCTCCGTGAGCACCCCATCCGACTCCTTTTATGGACTAACACCCCAGCTCAAGTCCACAAGACACAGAAAACGTGGTTCGGAATAATCAGAAAGGTAATGATGTGGTCCATCTGGAAGGAAAGGTGCTGCAGAACCATTGAGGGACTCTCAACTCCAAGGGAGAAGGTATGGGCGGAGACCAGGACCTTGATTCAGGAAGATATTCTTTGTAAGTGGCATTAAGACATGACACTCCATGCCAGATGACGAAGAGCAACAGAGAAGAGTCGAGGCAAAATTCACTAAGGTGTGGCTTGCAGGGGGCAAAGTAGCAGAGATAAACGACTTTCGCATACAGTGGAAAGATTGGCACAACTCAGAAACAGGGTGGAGATAGCAGAGATCCCAGCGCGCAGATGGACAAGATCTATCACCAGCCACGTAACACGGAAGAGCAAATTCCGAGATTGCATCTTCCGTAGCGTCTCTTACCTTTCTTGCTCTTTGGCATTTATCTGACAGGTTCATATAGTGGACCTGAGAGGAAAGGTGGAAGTAAGGCAAGCCGACAGTCGATCCTCCACGATGCTGGAGTAATCAATGCTGGTCAGGGTTCCTTCGGCCAGACAGAAGGAAGCGTGAGTGTGTTTCTATGATGTAATATGGACTTGCCGGCGGAATAGGAACCGGACTGATGCTCCCCAGAATGGAACTGGAGCCAGGGCCATAAGGGCCTGTTCGGTTTAAAAAAAAGAAAAAAAAAAAAAAAAAACAAAGTTTTCAGAAAGCCCTCAAATGTGTCAACAATGTCCTGAGAGAAAGCTTACCTTGTCCAGCTCTTCAGCCACAATGCGTGCAATGTCATCCTTCTGCTCGAAAACTTCATCTAGGTTCATCTTAGGCACGCTGGCTCTCACCACTGTCCACATGCCAAGAATGTAAATGGAGACAAGCAAGAACCATCAGCAATCATACAATTTTGCTTGGCACTGGTTACCTTCCTCGAAAGTGAGCAAATACCACCACCTCGACCGCTTAGCCAACAATTTGTCATTTTGACCCCTGGTTCTCGATTCAGTACCGTAATATCAACGGCAACACTGCAGTTGTCAACACCCTGGACTTCTAACGGCAACACAGAATCAAAAAGCAGGAGAAGCCATTAATTACATCATAGCATAAAGTTGTGCCTCCAGCACACAATTCCTGCACAATACTGCTGCTGATGTGCTCTACGTGCTCTCGTCAGCGAATCCTCATCGAAGGCGCTCACTCATCCCTGACACAACTATCCTTTGCAATTGCTTTCCAATGTTTTAAACCACTAGTACCTTTGACGGTTGGGAAAATAGCGAGCCTCACGTGGGCCTCCGATCTTTTAGGAGGCCGAAACGAAACGACATCCGACGATGAGATTTATCAACGGCGGCCATCGTCGGGCCCAGGCCCCACCTTTCTAGGAGTTTGGGATTCCCAACACTGGCGGAGGTACTCGTGGTTTTAACCCCTCTGTTTCCAGATTTGTAATCCTTTTCATATACAGCTCAGCCTGATCGCTGAACCTGAAAGTTTTAACAGTGGTGAGAGCCAGGATTGAAAAAATGCTCAGCCAGCACGACCTTCAGAACTGAACAGCGCTTGCATCCCGATTTTGAAGGCCAGGATTTGAAAGATGCTCAGCCCGGATGAACCCCAGGAAGGAAAAATGATCACATTCCATCAATATACTTTCCATTCCGTACAAAAAAACAGTGTACATCCGATGAGGGGCTTTTCTACAGCTGCTCTCTGTTGATCTTCTGTTGCCTGGGCACCATCTCGTTCGTCGTCGTCAACAACCCTGTCAACCAGCAATTATGCACAACAATGTCACTTGCACGTGTAACGAATTCTACACAACCATATCAAACTCGGTCTGCCTCTGAATCTCTTCTTCATTGGAGCGATATGATCCCCCTGAATGTCCAACAACAGCTCCTCTCCGAAGCGTGCAGGCCGCATCAAGAATTTCCGGTGCCATTCAAGTTGCCATGTGTGCCTTTAACACCAGATTTGCCTCAGTGTTCAGGGGTTGGGGAGTTGGTTAACACAGGGTTCATTACCAAGTGGTCAGTAAGGCACGCATGATTGACACATGGGTGAAGCCACGTGACATGGAAGTGGTGGCATACTGGCTGAATGCCAGGCTCTCATCAACACATCGTGGTGCTGTCACCCTTGATTTGTCAGCATCATCAGTTTTTTTTTTTTCTTTTTTTTAAGCAACAAAGCCCCATCTAATATGGGGGGCATCAGTCCGGTCGCTCATCACCGGCAAGACAACTTTTGCCATCATCTTCTTTTTATTATCATCAGGATCAGAATCATCAGCAGCAGCATTATCATCATCTGCTACATCTCTTGTTATCATTATCCACACCGCCTGCGTATTCGTACAGTTGGGGCTGCTGTTCGAGTGGTAGAACGCATGTTTGGCAAGTATGAAGATATTGGTGCAAGTCCGATCGTCTCCAAAACAACTAAAAAATAAAGACCCGATAACACAAGTAAACCTGAAGTATTCCAAAATCTACTAAAATGAGAAGTGAAACGGAATGAACTGGGTGTCTAGCAAGCATAACCACAATGTGTAATGGCCCGTCAATACACGGACTGAAACATACAGTCGATTTCTGATTTCTGCTCATAGGATGCATGCCGTACTAAGTTCCCTGCCTGTCGATGTGTTTGCTGGGTCTGAGTGCGTGCTTGTTTGTGGGTTGCATGACTGTGTGTGGCCTGCATGTTGTCGGAGTGCCTTGAGTGTGTGTGTGACCTGTATGGGTCTGTGATGGCTGGGCAGGCCCGTGGGAGGGCCGGTACTTACCTGTGGCATGGCGTTTGAGAGCTGCAGCCGGGGATACACTCAAGTGGTGTCGATAGCAGCCCCGCAACCCTTGGGGGGGTAGCGGGAAAACACTCAAGTAGGCCGGTAAGCATATGTGTGGGGTACTTGAGGGCCGGTAGGCCGAAWTGTGGGTACTTGAAAGGCCGAGCAGAAAAGACAAAGTCGGCATTTTTAGAGTCCGGTAGCTGTGGGTAGGTCTAGGCCGGTACCAGTCTGCATCTAGAGCCTGTACGGCCAATATCAGAGTCTGCAATGATGTTTCCCTCCGAAACGGAGG